CAAAAAGCAGGGATCGTACAACCTACTCAATACGTGTATGTCGTTTTCTACAGAACACAAGAAGATGACCAGTTTTCGCTGGGAAAAATCAAGCGTTTTCGATAGCACGGGGATCAAACGATTTCTCACAAATCCACTGTATGGACGCCCTTGCAACCAATGTATTAGGTTAAGCTGGGAAACGAAAAAGTGAAACTGACTTGCGAAAAATGATCAACATCATTGAAGAATTCCTGAAAATTGAAAAGAACAAAAAAACTTCTTTTTCTCACATGTGTAGCCATCCGAAAAAAGGAACAAAAAGCAAAAACGACATTTAATGAATTCTGATCGTTTCGATTTCTGTGCCCACTTAGTCAGACAGAATTATATTATAGTCAGATACTACGCAAATAGAATACACTATTTTTCTAATGTTTTCCAGTTTTCTAATGCATACATAAGCTGTTGCACAATAATCTCTGTGAACAATTGGAAGTTTCGTTTCTTTTTTACTCTTTCAAGTCATATTCAACCTATATTGATGACTTGCGAGTTTTGTCGGATGTATAGTACTATTGTGTCAATGGCTTTTAGTTTTCTTCGGACGAAAACTATATGCCTCTTTTTCTCCTCTTCTTTATTAAAAATCCTTTTTTTTTCAAGAATGCTGAGCCACTTTTTTTCCTCTTTTTTAGAAAGTGTTGGCGGGATGCCAGTGTGTTTTACCTGCTATTTTAGAATGGTCATCGAGGAACGCTCGATATTTATTCTTTCGAGATGTTCCTTTCGACGATTCTGATATTCGGGATTTTTCCTTTCTGGATTTTTTGAAATTTTTTCGAGATTTTGAGACATTTCTGTAATTATGTGTGCATTATTCTACTGGTATTTCTACATTTGTTCATTTACCGATATAAAGAAAGTAGACACAAATATTCTATAAGGATATGACAAGAACCAAAAAGCAACACAAATCGAATATGCCATACAAAATGTTTATGATTCTGTTGGCATGACTTTTGGCAACATGCCTACATTTTTCTGCCGAGAAAACTTCATGTTGACAATTCTTGGTTATTGAAGAAATAATTATGAAACTCTGTACAATCGGAATGACAGTTCATTCTAATTCTCAATTCTGCATCAACAAAATGATTTGTGGTTCGATTTCTATTATCATTTTGTAAAAATTTCAGATGAATGAAAATTCATTCTCAACAAACATTGGAGATAGGTACGGCAAAAAAAGATAACGGGGCAAATTTTTGTGCATTAGGCACATTTTCACTACCAAGAAGATAAGCTAGGAGATTATCACCTCTACGTTTAACAGTGCTCTTTCTCTTCTACGCTTTTTTTATCGATGCAAAATGTCGCTAAAACCGAAGCCATTAAAAAATTGAAAATCAGTAGAAATCAGGAGAAAATCCTCACAATCAGCTCCTGAATTCAGGAGAATTTTTATCAGGAGAAAAGTTTGAAAATCAGGAGACTCCTGGCCAAATCAGGAGGTTTGGCAACCCTGCTTATCATCGACGTCCATTCTAAAGATAAGGTACCGGCAGATGATTATCTCGTATCGTCCTACTCGTCCATGAACTTCTATAAATTCTGTGATTTTGCATATTATTAATCGGTAAAAACTATTTCATTCGTGTGTTCAGAGAAAAAGAACTTGACATTCATTACAGCAATGGAATCGATGTCTTGAATAATGAGGATATCCGGATCAAATCATTTCTTTCATACAGCACGCTTATTAGGAAGTCGTTCAAAATGCAGAGAACGAGAAGAGAACAACATACTTACCATATTTTCCAATATCTTGGCATTTCTTTTTGAGCATTTTAATACTAAGTTGCCCGATTCTACTAATGAGGGAAGGTCCTCAAGTGTGACGCTCTGTTTTCAATTTAGTATTTGCCATTTTGTACAGCGCAGTGAATACAACATGTACTATAAAGAGTTCGTACCCATACTGAACTTTTAAGGGACTACGAGGTACCATAAAGGGGATCCCATACTAATTGAGAATAAATTGTTAATGATATTTTTCATACTTTATCTTTACGTAGTGGGCTGAAATTTTTATCACATATATATCTTATCAAGATCCTTTGTTTCTGAAAGTTTCAGCTCTCTAGCTGTAACTAGCGACGAAATACATCGACGAGATTGAAGCATAAATTTTCGCAATCGAGTTTTGCATTGTTGTCACTGAGAATAATGCAAAAAATGAGTACGAAAATTTATGTATTTCAACCTTGTCGGTGAATTTCACCACTAGTTATAGCTGCAGAGTTGAAACTCTCAGAAATAAAGGATCTTGATAAGATATATATGTGATAAAAATTTCAGCCCTCTACGCAGGGCTCGCACGAAGGATCAAATATTAGGGTGGGTGTTTGGCAGATTTGGCGGTGTGAGAGAGTATTTTCAGAAAAATCTTGCAGAAAAATCATAAAATGTGGACAAAATCTGCTCTTGTGGCCGGATAAAACTGAAAAACATTTTTGTTTTGGGGTGTACACCCCTCTAGACCCCCGCTCGTGCGGAGCCTGCCTTTACGTAAAGATAATGTATGAAAAATATCATTAACAATTTATCTTCAATTAGTATGGGATCCTCTTTATGGTATCTCGTAGTCCCTTAAAAGTTCAGTATGGGTACGAACTCTTTATAGTACATGTTTAGAGCCCTGCAGGGTACCCATAACCTGTCCTGCCCTGCCCTGCCCTGCCAGGACAGGACAGGGCAGGTTGCAAAAGTAGCAGGGCAGGGTCAGGTTACGAAATTTTTACAGGGCATGTTACAGGGCAGCACTGCCATAACCTGTTAATCTGCTATTAATTTATCGAATCAAACATTATAGACATCTTTTGAAAAATTTTATACGAAGAAGAATATCGAAGTATAAAACAACATAAAGTAGGAGAATTGATATACGAAGTCGATGAAAAGTTATGAATTTTTTTTTTAATATCAAATATAGCAGGACAGGGCAGGGCAGGACAGGGCAGGGTACGCGAAAAAATTCAGAGGACAGGACAGGATTAGGTTGCAGAATTTTTACAGGGCAGGTTACAGGTTACGAAAATACTGCATCCTGCAGCCCTCTACGAACAGGTCGATGTTGTCAGTTGATGCACGAACAACTAACATTTTTGCCTTCATCCAGATAAAGCCGTTGCCAATATATACTTTTTTTTAATGAAATATGTATATGTAGATTTTTTTCTCTCATAATATGACAAAACATATTGTTGTATTTTCATCTTCAAAAGAAAGAATTGAAGAACCAATCCACAGACTTGGTAGAGATTGTAAGAAATCTATGAAAGATGTAATTCAACGGTTTCTATGTCAAAAAAATCTCGACCTGGTTTATTCTAACAGGTACCTGCAGGTTAAATGATAAACCGTCCATTCAATTTTTTTCTGATTAATAAATGATCATGCTCTATGAAAAGTTCTATTTTAAACAATAACGTTTTATAGCTAGATAGTAACTTTCTGTAAAACAAAATTTCACTGTTGACAATAATCAAGTTTTAGATGAGCGGCGTCAGGTAAATTTAATGAATAGATATTTAAAGCCATTCGTATCTGTTCTGCTGCTTTCTTGAATTTATTCTGATCACGATATACATATCATAAATTCTCATAGGCCTCCACTACGTTTAGATGATTTGATCAAAGCGATTGAAGATAAATATTCAATGTCTTTTCGAAATATTCAATTGCTTTATTGTAGTTCTTTTGTTTATAGTAAACACTAGCTACATTGTTGTAAGTATTATCAAGGAGTGGATGGTTTGGTGAAAGTGAATAATTCAGTTCAATCTCAAGTGCTTTTTATCATAGTAATCAAGTAAAATATTAACGGCTGACATATTGTTATAAGATGTGGTCAATAATGGATGATTAGTTGGAAGGACATGTTGTCAGAGATTATGTGCTTTTTTCGTGCATTTCTAATGCTTCAAAATACTCTTTTTGCGGGCTATATACTTCTGCAAAATTTATTATAAGATATTGCAATACTTTTTTCATTTCGTACTAGAGCACGTAGCGCTCAGATCATACTCGAGATAAGTGTAAAATCTGATTTAAGCAATACTACATAGAATATAAACTATGATGAATATTGGTAGCTTCATTAGGTTAGGAGAGACTGCCTTGCACTTGTACGAACTTCTAGTACATAACCAACATAGAACTTTTCTTGTTCTTATTAGTGAAACTATTAATAGCTTGAAGAAAATGTTTGTCGCTTAGATCCATTAGTTAAATGCCATACTTTCTATATTATAACAGAAAAAGGAAACTGAAAACATGATAAGTTGAATAGCAGTATAATTTGTTATAGCATTGAAATCAGTTTAAAAAATTGAATAAGAGAAAGCCAAATCCTCTAAAAACTAAAAGATGTAATTCTTACGCTGAGTAATAAATCTTGAAAGGCAATATATGTTTCACAAGATATAACTAAAAACATATGACAAAACGAACTCTTATCATCTTTCGCTTGTTATTTTTTCTTTTTATAAGAAACAAATCTATTTAAATACACCCATTTAGTGTTAGTTGTCAAAGTATTGCAGCAAACAGAAAAACAAAAAAGCGAGTGTTTTCATTCAAGAACAGATAAGAATATTCTATCCGCAAATTCAATCTTTTAGTCATTGCTTTTTTTTTATTCTTTTCTCACATATTACTTTCTCGTCCTTCTCGTTTATTTGGTTTTGTAATTTTTGTGAAACTGATTTATTTTTACAAAAAAAAAACTAGAGATTGTAAGTTTTAAGTCGATGTTTTTCAGCTACTCCTCTCCTTCATAGTGGACAGAGAAGTAAAAACAGTGCTTGAGTTTCGTGTACTGTTCAATATGCTTTTCTTCCCCTTGCATTGAACTGTATACAGAAAAATGCGACAAAAAAAATTAGAATATTTGCGAAACTTTTCAGACAAATTTTTTGTCTTAAAACTTACTCGAAAATTTATCGTCAACAAGACTAAAGTTTCGGTTGAAAAATCTGCTTTTCGACCAGATTTCTGAAATGGTAAATGTCCTATTATTGTTCGTCAATTGAACTAAATCTACCCGTGGTATGATCAGATCTATCAATCTCGAGAGTCGAATACATTCTACAGGTTATCGGGGATTAGCTTAATGGTGACCAGCAACGAACTTTTCATATAAGTCGAATTTCCAATGTTGTTGTAAATGTAGAATAGGAGTATGTGACTTTATTCTAGAATACATCTTTGTGTTATGAGAATTATGTCTTTGGTAATCAGTCTCTGAAACCTTCTCATTTCGATGTTTTACGAGAAATTTCATCAGGAGATATAGTAAGAGTTTATAAAGCTTAAGTTCCTTTGCCATAATTCTCTGACTCCACAAATTTCACATCCACAACCTTTACTGTGATAAAATAAAAAAGTAATTTTTCAAATATATCCTTCTTTAAATTTGTCTTGCATTGATTAGCTTGGTCGATATTTTGTGTTGCCTAACATGTGTACTTTGCAAATGAGTAAAAACCAACTCATTGTTCATGGAACTTGCCATTAATTCTAAGCAATAGTACACTTTGACATACAAATTAATTTTATCCTATCAAACGCACCCCCACCCCCCCAGTAAATCATCATGTTTTCTTTCTATTTATCGATCTGAAGTTCGTATCAGAATGAAATCAATCTTTCCTGAGAAACTAAAACGAACTACGAGATATTTTAATAGAAAAAATACCAAGATTTCTGGAAAAAAACTATTTAATAAAATTACTGTGTAAGTCGAAACGGATTGTTTCTTGGGTGTGATGATGATAATGAAATGATGTTATTGAAGAAAAAGAAAGAAACATCTGTAGTTTCACCATCACTATCATCAATACGAAATTCATAAGAAAAGTGATGAAACTTTTTAAGAATACTTTTTTCTTTTGAATTTCTTTCTTTCATTAGAATATCAATTTTGACAGAAGCTAAATCTTCAATAAAATCTATTGATAATAAATATGTTAATAAATATGAAGATGAATCTGATTAAAAACAAACTTTTCAGTTAGATATTTATCTTATTTGTCCATATTGAATGAAAAGAATATTTTATCTAATAAAATTCTTTCATATTTAGTATATTCATTTACAAAAGCCAATAATGATTTAGTCAAAAATATTCAAATCTTTATTAGTCTACATGATCTTGATCAAATTTTGATTCAACTTTATGAATATTTATGTGTTATACAAGGTTATGTTTGTTCAGTTATTCAAACATTAAATCAACAAATACAATATTTTATTGAAAAATTTCAATTATGCAAACAATCGGAAATTCAATTGTATTCAACAAATTTAAATGAAGTTTCTAAATATTTGTCAATCAGTAAAAAAAACATTGATGAAATTAAATAAGAAAAACTTTGATCATATTTAACAATTTACAATGATTGCTAATTCATTTTTTTTTTGAATTTTATGAAAATCTAAAGATATTTAGATGTTTTAAATAACAGAAATAAAAGCTGAACATTTTGCAGTATGTTCAACAAAAAATATACAGTAGAACTGAATGAATCTAGAATTTCATCAAGTGTTTCAAATCTTTTCCACTGATGAGACTGGTAAAATATCTTGTTCTAGATTTATTTTTCCTGCATACAATAGAATAGATATATTTATATGTGCATAATCGATATAATGATACACATCTCAGCCAATATGAGACTTCTGTGTGTGTGTGTTTCCATCATGAAAAATATATAAACAGATGTATGAAATTTTCATTGAATCAGTTGGTTGTTTTTGTTTCAAACGAAATTATTTGACGATGAGAACAATTTAATTGATCATTTAGAGTCAAATCAAATATTTTTATCATTGCTGAGATATTAAATATACTGTGATGGGTAGATTGAAAATATATATCTTATAGTTAGATGAAAATTGAGTTTTCGAAGAAATTTGTTGAAGACATCATATACTTATAAATCAACATAAACTGATTTGGGATTTTCAAATAGATGTTAAAAAAAAATACAGTAAAAAGAAATTTGTTTAGTTTAATTTCTTGTTTTTCTTTTCACTCAGAGAGTACTTTTTATGGGATGATCTACCTTCTTTATTATAGAATCTTATAGTCTGATATATCAAAAACAAGTAATACTTTTTTAAGGCACAGAAATCTTAGAATGTCAAAGATAACATTTTCCATCTCGAAACTTCTAAGAATACATATCAAGCAAGTACAGAAGTATCCATCATTTAAAAATTCCATAGCACTCAACTTAGAATTCAAGGCATAGTACGATGAGAGTGGTTCGAAACACTGTGGGTGCTTTCAAGCACGAATTTCTAACATGTTATTTATTTCTTTAGACTCTACATAATAAATAGTTTGAGAATGTTGAAAAAAGAAAATAACAACACTCCTAATACACTATTATCTTCATTGATTTATCCAATTCAATCAATGTTACCCATGTCGTCTTATTCGAATGTATAAGTTTCATTTGAAGATTGTAATGAGATAAATGTGAAAATCTTCGAAGAACATTTGCAAACATCTTTCATCATCAATTCGAAAATCATTTGATAGTAAAAATAATCAAAGATTTCTTTTATTTCGACAAGTTAGTCAATATGAATGTATAATTAATTCTTATTGGTTTTCTGGTTCTTCTGCAGTTTAGTCACACCTTTACACTGATTGGTACACTGAACGCAGCAACCAATGTGAGGGTGAGGGCGAGAGTGTAACTAATCTGCAGTAGTACCGACAGCTCTCTATATCCTTAGAATATCCTGAAAGTTTCAGCCAAAAAGGATGATCTCTTCTCCATATATTGAATACTGAAGAAAAATAGGTTTTGAGAGTATTTTTGTTACATATGATTGTTGGTTTAATATTCAAGATATCGAAAAGAAACCATCTGTTTTGGCTGAAATGTCCAGGATATTCTGAGAATCATAGGAGCTGTCTATGACCAAAACTTCAGATGAAAACGTGATTTTTTTTCACTTTCTATCAATACTTGATCTTAAGCCTAAATCCAATAAAACGATCATGACTCGTACTTGATATTAAAATATCAGTTTGACCCACGATTAACACTTAGGAATGTTTATACTCGTCAGTCAGATGTGTTACCGTTGCGAAAAACAGGATCGATTATCAATCTTTTTGTTTTTGTTCAAAACAATTATTTTTCAAAAACGATGAAGTAATGTGTAAATTGGAATATTTTCTAGTGAACTGCTCCATCTTTTCGAGTTTTTCGACTTTAATAGTTAAGCATAAATTCTTGAAACATATCCAGAAGAATGATAAAATGTCGAAGCAAAAAAAATTAAGAATATACAAACTTTCGGCCTGAAATGGGATGTTCTTCTAAGGAAGAAATAGTTTGTTCAAAAGCATTCGTATGGATATTTGGTTGATGAAACACAATAGACTAATTAAAAATAGAACTCGATGAAAAATATCGTTGCCCGAAGGTGATGGGTAGTTATGGCATAGAATCTACCTAAATAACCCACAAAACGATGCATTAACATCTCTATCAATAAAGAAATATTTTAGTTCAATATCTTAAGTTAATTTTAATCTCAGAACTTTAAATTAAATCCTCCAAAAAACAATGTGCAGTATGAGTGTTCAAACAGAAGATCAATTCAATTCCATTTCATAGATAACTTTGACAAAATTTTTATTTATCTTGATTAAGAAAAAAAGGAGAGAAAATAAATTGGAAATTATCTTGAGATGATGATTTCGTATCATTGTGATAAAAAAAAAGAACAATATACATCAATTTTTCGTCTGCATATTTAGTATGCTTTCAACGAAAAATATCATTTTCAATCTTTCATTTATCACAATAATAAACAATAATCATCATTTCTCAAA